CTTATGGAGCCCTGTTGATCTTTCCTCTCTAGCCCACCTTCTTACTTCAAGCCCTTATCATCCTCAGTTTCCCATTCTTTCTGCTTCAAGATTTTTCACCTTCAATGAATCATATACCATATATGTATTTAATCTGCATTTCTTATATGAGGACGGACCCACAAAAACCTGGAATTATCTTTTAGAGGGTGGGCCCCTTGTAGTACAGGCTTTCCCCCATTCAGTGAGTATTCTAGGAACCCATCTATATCAGTGTACCAGCTGGCGTTGTTGTGAGACACTGTGTTCCTCTTCAGTGAATTTTTTTTGAAGATTCAGTGCATCTGCCCATTTCATGATGGGTGATTTACGAATGCACCTGCTCACACCATGCTGCGTGTTTAGCAGTTTTTGACCAAAAAATGGCATGACCCCCATGCCCCACCCTCCCTAGACTCCTGATCTCACCTGAGCGACTTTTTTTGTTTCCCCAGATGAAAAAAGTCCTCAAAGGGAAATGTTTGCCAATGTGGAAGAGGTGAAATGAAAAATGGCAGAAGCGCTAAAAAGACATCAAAATCAACAAATTCAAAAACCGTTTTGAGCAGTGGAAAAAACACCTTGATAGCGTGTTGTATCAAATGCAGAGTATTTTGAAAGTGACTGAAAGTAAACATGTAAGAATATATACCCAATTTTTTAAAAAATTTATTTTAGAGAGAGAGAGGAAAGAGGGGGAGGCAGAGAGAGAGAAACATCACTTTGTTATTCTACTTATTGATGCATTCTCTGGTTGTCTCCTGTAAGTGCCCTGACTGAGGATTGAACCCACAGCCTTGGTGTATTGGGATGATGCTCCAATCAACTGAACTACCCAGCCAGGGCAATACCCAATTTTTTATAAATAAATTCTGAGTTTGTTTTTTTGTCTCCGCTCATATAGTTTAAGAACTTAGCATCTTAAGCTTTACTGAATTCTTTCACTTCTTTCTGTGGGATAGATAGACTATCTACTCTATTATTAGAAATAATAAGGTAGCAGGGTACATGATATATACAGAAAAATCAACAGCTAAAACAGTGAGGTACTAAAGCAGAAGTAGGTAGACATATATAGATCAATGGAAAATAATAGTTCAGAAACTGTGTGTGTGTGTGTGTGTGTGTGTGTAATGATAAAGATGGCATTTTAAATCAGTAGGGAAGAATGGGATTAATCAACAAATGGCGTTGAGGAGGATCAGCTCCCTTTTGGCAAAATGTTAAATCCCTACCTCACGTTATACACAAAAATTATTTCAGATGACTTTAAGACTAAAAACCATACAATGACATATTGTTCAGCAATTAAAAGAGATGAAGTACTGATATGGACTACAACATGAATGAATCTTAAAAACATTATGCCAAGAGAAAGAATCCAATCATAAAGGACCACATGTTGTATGGTTTCATTTAAATAAAGTGTACAAAAACAGGAAAATTTATAAAGACAGAAAGGGGATCAGTGGTTGCCAGGGGCAGGAGTGGAGGAAGGATTGAGACGTAGGGGCTAAGGGGTAGAGGGCTTCTTTTGGGGGTGATGAAAATGTTCTAAATTTAATTGTAGTGATGGTAGCACAATTCTGAACATACTAAAAGCCATTGAATTGTACACTTTAAGTGGGTGAATTTTATGCTGTGTTAGTTATATGTTAATAAAACTTTTTAAAAAACAACTCTGTTAAGAAGAAAAAGGGAAAAAGGAATGTCAGGCAATTGGCAGTTTCTGCCACAGTTAATATTCAAATCAAAAAGAGCGTCTACACATCAGTTTTAAAAATTAATGACATAGCAAGAACATGAGAAAGAATCTGAAAAGACAATTTGTAAAATAAATGCAAACAAATACAAGTACATGAACATAGAAAAAGAAACCTCACCAAAAATTAAAAATGCAAACTCAAATAATGACATTCTATTTTTTCAGCCTATTATGATTGGCAAAGGTAAGTACATATCCTCGAACCAGAAGTTGCATCTTCTAAGACTGTATCCTACAGAGCCGTGTTACTCAAAGTGTGGTCTGTGGACAAGCAGCGCTGGCATCACTTGGGGGGTCAGGAGCTCCATTTTAATCTGATCCTCAGGCAATTCCTATGCACATTACAATTTCAGAAGTACTGCTACAGAGTACTAATGCAGATTAGTAAGGATATATCTATGGGGATTTTTGTGGCAGCATTGTTTATAATGTGGGCGATTTTTAATGCTAATATCCATCAATAGGACACAGTTTAATAATTACCATATATCCGCATAATGGAAGGCTAGGTAACTGTAAAAAAGAAAGAGGTAGATCTGTGTTTAGTGATATGAGAGTTGTCCAAAATATATTTTTATAGATTTTTAAATAATGATTTTATTTATTTTTTTTAGAGGGGAAAGGAGGGAGAAAGAGTGGGAGAGGAATGTTGTTCAGTTGCCTCTCATATGTCCCCAACTGGCATGTGCCTGGACTGGGAATTAAACTGGCGACCTTTCGGTTCACAGGCTGGCACTCAGTCTACTGAGCCACACCATCCTGGGCCCAAAACATATTTTTAAATGACAGTAATCCAATCGATGAACAGTATGTATGATTGATACCACTTTTGTTTTTTAAACATCTTCATTAATAAATTAACTTCATTAAAAAAATGAGAGTGGTGCTGAAGGAGATCGTGGACTTTTATGTTCCTCTTATACACTTCTCTATTATTTGCTTTTATTTTAACTCTTACTTTTATAATCGAAGGAGATTCTATTTAGACCAGCTCCCGGGCGGAAGGGTGTTATCAAGGAGAATGGACTATCGACTCTCATTATAAAGTACAGCTTCAGTCCTTCAACAAAACACAAAATAATACCTCCAATTGCTCCTCACAGTTTGCAGGATAAAGTCCACATTCCTTAGTGTGATCCAGCTCTGTTTGCTGATTCTCCCTCACTCCCCTACGTACAGCTACTGTTCCAGTCAGCAGAATTACCTGCTTTCTTTGCACAGCCATTGAGCTCTTTCTCCTCCAGGCCTTACCAAAGGTGCTTCCTTTGTCTGGACTCAATGCTGCTGAATATATGATACTATGTATACCCATATTCTATCAGATTATCCCCTGGCACTAAGTAAAAGCTCTCTAAGTGTTGGGTGTCATTATTATGACCACTCATTGTATGAATTACTTGTTTACCTAACCCTGTCCCTGGACTGTAAGGCCCCTGCAAACAGGGACCGTGTTTTACTGGCGTTGAGTGCCCAGCAGGCACAGCCTGGCATGTAGTGCTTAACAAAAGTATTTTAAAACATATTTATCTGTGAACTATATTACCCAAGCTGGACAGGGCAGGAGGTAATATTTCCTGATTTCCAGCCCACCACATCTTCCATTGGACTACTTTGTAACACATGATTTCACAATTAATCACATGATATCTTACCTTGTTGCCTAATTGTTTTATTTATATTAGGTTCTACAAGATTGGTAATCTCCCCATTTCCCTAGGCAGGAATTGTATCATAATTATTAACCACCCTGGGTCTTAGTTTCCTCTTTCAAATATTCTCTCACAGGACAGGTGTGGAGATTAAATATCACTTATAAAGGCATCTCACATGATGTCCGGCACAAAATATTTGTTGCATCTCAACTTCTCTGTTTTTATCTCCTTCAACAAGTCACAGGCCTGCATACCAGGGTTTGGCTATATCAGTTCTTGTTGATTATTTATATAACAACGTTGTGTGAGGAGAATTTTAGTGGGCACATGCTGGATTTTCTCCTCAAAAGTTTTGCATCAAACCAGTCCAGGATATGAGGAGGAGTGAAATGCTCCCAAGCGGGGTTTAGGAATCTGTGCAGTGCTTTAGCATAGATTAGGCTCATACTCTACCCCTGGCAGTTGGTATAGTTAAGCCTATTTCACAGATGAGAAAGTGGAGTCTTAGGTAAATTGCTAGTAAACTACAGATTTGTCAGGACTCCAACTCAGGTCTTGCTGGGCTTGGGCTTCTTGCATTCCAAAGGTCTATCTGAAAATAACGAACGGACAGGACCTGCCGGGGGAGGTGAGGAAGTGGGGGGGGGGGGCGGGAACTAACCTTGGTATTTTTTCTGCTCTTTCCCGGCCTTTTGCTTCAGGGAATGTGTCTCTTTTGAATTCACAGTACTTTTCCTCGAGGATCTCCGGTCCCTTTAAGGTCTCAGGTAAAGAAATGAACAGCCCCGCCCCCTCGCCCTACCCTTCTCAGGTTCTAAGCCCTGCCCCCTGTTTTGTACCCTCAGCCAATTAACGCTCCTCGTCCGGGCTCCTGGGTTTGAAAAAATGAGTTTGGAACCTGTCAACTACTGATCCCATTCAGTTACTGACGGCTCTCCTCTCAACGGCTGTCCACTGCGGACGTCCAGTGCTCCGCCCTCCGTTGCCATAACCACAGTACACAGCACCTCCTTCGCCCTTCCCCCTCTTCCAAAACAATCCCACACCTGCGGCCAAGACCCTCTCCAGAACTGCTTGTAACTGAACGGAATAAGAGTCTGCGCCCTTCTGCGAAGGAGGATCGGGTGGGAGGAGTGGAGACTACGTCAGGCTGCTGTCCCCTTCCCCGTGGGGACAGCGAAATGGGGCTAAGCAGGATGGGCGAGTTAGAAGAAATGAATGGGGCAGGGGTTAGGGATGAAAGGCAAGGGGAGAGATCGGGAAGGGAGGTGGGAAGAACTGGGAAGGGGGAGTCCAGGAAGCAGGGAGACGAAGCTGCTGGAGGAGAGCTGGAGCCGCTGTGAAGGGCAGGAAAGGCCTCAGGGGTCTGGAAAGGCATCCTGAAAAGAAAGGGGCCCTTGGTGGGAAGCGTGGAGGTTGGGAATCAAGATGAGATGTTCCTAGGGGTGAGGAAAGAAGCATAGCTGGGAAGAGATGAGAGGTGACAGAAGGGGTAATACTCCCGTCCCTGTCAATGGAGGTGAGGGAGCGGAGGGTGGGCTGACGCTGAGACCACCTTCTTTCTCAGGACCAGGGCCTGGCTTGATCAGACTCCAGAGCCTTCAGCAGGGAAGAAAGATGTCCGATGAAGAGGATCTGGAAGATTTTGAGCTAGACCAGGATGATCTGGAAAGGGAAGACGATGAGAAGGAGACGGAAGAGGGGGAGGATGAGAGGAAAGAGGAGGAAGCCTTGTCTGAGGAAGTGAGAGCACAGAAATGAAGGGGTCCCAGGGCTAAGGATGGGGTTGGGCTGGAAAGGGGTGCCTGACTCCACTTCCTTCAGCAGTGGATGCCCACCCCGCTCACGGAGGACATGATGAAGGAAGGGCTTTCTTTGCTCTGTAAGACTGGTAATGGACTGGCCCATGCTTATGCCAAGCTGGAGGTTAAAGAGAGGTGCGTTTGGGGAGGGATGCAGGAGAGGGCTGAGGTTGTGGGGCCCAGCCTCCTTTCTCATCCTCATTCCTGGGTGTTTTGGCTGAAAGTTTGGATCTCTCTCATCCTGGCCCCATGGGAGGGAAGGATAGAATTTACTTTTCAGGAGCTCTGAGACTCCCTGTGTCGGGGCTGGCCGAGGGACTGGAGGCTGGGAGATGGGATGTGGGGCTTCCTGCTGGACTCCCTCATTTGACCTTCAGAGTGTAAGGTCTCAGCCCTTCACAGACACAAGGTCCTCGCCTACTAGTAAGAACCCCCCTACCTTCTCTTCTCCCCCTCACCTCTCCTATCTGTCACCCGTTTCTCTCCCCATGATAAGCCACCTCCATGTTGCCTCCTGCTTTAGCACTTCTGTCAGCCCTTGCTGGGTTCTCACCTTAACTGTGGCCTCTGCCATCTCCTAGAGATCTGACAGACATCTCCTTGCTGCGCTCCTACATCCATCTGCGCTATGTGGATGTTTCTGAGAACCATCTGACAGACTTGTCTCCACTCAATCACCTCACTCACCTGCTCTGGCTCAAGGCTGATGGCAACCGGCTGCGGAGTGCCCGGCTGAACGAACTGCCCTACCTGCAGATTGCCAGTTTTGCCTATAACCAGATCACTGACACGGAGGGCATCTCTCATCCTCATCTGGGCATCCTGAATCTCAAAGGTAGGCCCTTAGGATGGGCTACACAGATTCTTTCCTTCCTAGCCTGGGGCTGACAGAGGTGGGCAATGTGGTCCTTGGCTGTGCCACACAGCAATTTACATTCATTCAGCTATTCATTCAGACACATTATGATTCATTATGGCAGTTGTATGTACTGGAGAAAGAAATGAACAAAACGTAGTCCTATTCTCTTGCAGCTTACAATCCAGGTGGGGGTGACAGACAAAGAACACAATTAAGTAAATTTATATGCTAAGTTAAAAGGAGATATGTGCTATGGAAAGAATAGATCAGGGTAAAAGAAATGAGTGGGCAGGCACAGGTGACAATTTCAAACAGGTGGGCAAGCATCATTGAAAAGCTGATATTTGAGCAAAGCCTTGTGGAAGGTGTTAAATCTGGACCTGTCTCTTCTCATATTCACCTGACATTAGAGAGAAGGATGCAGAGTCTCCCAAAACTCAGGCTCTGCTGCTAAACATTTTGGAGTGGCCATTTGAGCTCTTGACACCCTCCTGCTCCTTAGGGAACAATATCAACATGGTGACAGGTCTGGACCCCCAAAAACTGATGAGTCTGCACACACTGGAGCTTCGAGGGAACCAACTGGAAAGTACACTGGGAATCAACCTTCCTAAGCTGAAGAACCTCTTCCTGGTAGCTCACTGGGTCAGCGGGTGGTTGGTGCAGGGAAGAGGGCATGGCACTAGCGTGGGGCCTGGATGCCTGGCTTCTAGTAGGCTCAGCTACGAACTCTATGATCATAATGATAATTGGTATAATTTATTGAGCCCTTACTTGATGCCAGATGCTGTGGCAATGCAAAGTTAAAACAGACGAGCTGCTGATCACCTACCAGGGCTGATAATACATAATACAGGGTAATACAGAAATTGTTTTGCATAATGTGCCATAACTTAGGTACAGGCATTAGGCTAAGGAGGCCATTTAAATGTTTAATCATTTAGATCCTTGAGCTTCCTCCTTCCAGGATGTTGCTGAAGTCATTTCTCCTCAGTAGAGCAGTGAGGCTCTTAGACCTGGGCAGGGGTGGGGGGGATTTGTTGAAGCATGACCTCCTTAATCAGAGGTGGCTTTAATGGATGAGCAGTCAGTAGGGGGTTACTGCTGACCTTTCTCTGGACTGGCAGCTTCTTCTTTTCGATTTCTTTATTTGCATTACCGACCTCTACCTCCTTCCACTCCCCTCCCACACCCCTCCCTATTGATCTCTTAGACTTCCTCTTTAACTGTATCTCTTTCATTGCATCTCTTTCCAACTTTTCTTCCTTCCTCATCCCTCTCTCCCCTCCCAATGTGTCTATTGTATCCTGGAGTCTAGGCGCAGAACCTGTTGAAGAAGGTGGAAGGCTTAGAGAACCTAAGTAATCTCACTACCTTGCACCTTCGAGACAACCAGATTGAAACTCTGAGTGGCTTCTCCAAGGAAATGAAATCACTGCAGTACCTCAACGTGAGGTATGCACCCCCTCCAGGCCCCACCTTGCTCCTACCCCTGAGCAGGAGCAGCTTTTGACCCTGACTCCAGAACACCCTGCATTCTCCCTTGGCCCCAATCCCCCAATCCTAGCCCACTCCAAGAGTCCCACCTCATCCTCCATCCTGATCCTCATCCCTCCTTTCCTTACTTTCCTCTGTGTTCAGTCCTAATTGCACACTGAGATCTTTATAGTCTGAGACCCCCAATCCTTATGCATTCAATCCATGGTTATTGAGAATGTGCTATGTACCAGGCCTTGTGCTGTGCTTCAGGAATATTGAAAGGAATCAAAGATGGTCCCTGTTCTCAAGGGACTCAGTCTGGCTCCAACTCTATTTTTGCGGGCCTCTCCCTTATAAAAGTTTCTACTCTACTTATCCTTCTTCTGGATCCTAATTACCTTCCCATTTCCTGCCTCTCTTATCCTGAGCCCCACCTCTAAGTCCCCCTTACTGATAAAAAACCAAAACAAAACAGAACACAAAATGTGCTGAGATGTGAGCAGAGAAAAATATTTGAAAGGAAATCTCTAGATAGAAAAGCATTAGGGATCAGGGGCATTTTCTTTCAGCCACTCTTGTGTGATGGAAGATTTTATGTGTGTTGATTAAGCAAAGATGTAAGGGAACTGTCTCCTTAGTCAACAGGGCCCCAGTCAAGGCTGGCAATGGAAACAGAATCTCCAAGTTGATGGAGAGGTGGTGTCATCTTGAACCCCAACTCCAACCTTAATTCGTGGAGCAATCTCTTGCTAATTAGCTCTGCCACATTGGTCTGGTAGGGTGGAGAGACTTCTGTTTTCCTGTTAATAGTCTAAACAGGGATAGTGGACCCTTCCTTCTCAGTGACTGTTCACTAGGGACGCTTGGAAGTAAGTGCAGTGGAGACGCGTTGTCTCACTGGCTAGGAGGTGCTTCTGGGGCCAAAGATGCTAAACTTCCTGCAATGCACAGGACAGGAAAGTGCACGCAGTGCTCCCAGTGAGAAACACGGCATGAGGTTCAGTGCCTCCACTTAAATAAGGTGGAAATATTTAAACCTGATTTTTTAAAGGCTTGGAGCAAAAACACAAAAATAAACACAGAATACTGTATAATGAGGCATATTAGGAACTTGTTCCTAATGAAACTTGTTCATCAGCCTGGGAGGTCCCAGTCTATCCCTACCTCTTGGTTCCGTTCAGCGGGGAACTGATATAGCACCCACCACCTTGAGCTTCAATCCCAGTTCCTTCTCCACTGGCCCATGTCCTATCTTCCAACCTCTGATTAGGTGTCATTGACACAGAAGATTTTCCCCTCGCTCCCTAACTACAAGACAGGGCTGTGACCTAGGTTGGCTGCTCCAAAAGGATAAATATGACACATTACAGAAAAAGAATATGGTACTTAGGGATTCCTTGAAGGGCAGAAGCAGGGCAGGAGTGGAGCTGGACAGCACCTCTGCAGCAAGTCGGGCCATGCTAAGCAGGCCAATCGATAGAGGCAGTGTTTCTAGGGAAAGTGGAGCCCACAGAAGATTCCCCTAGAGACCCCATTCCTAGCAGCTGGCCTCCAAAATCCAGTGAACCCTTCCTGACGGTACTGGCAGGGGCAATATGATAACCAACCTGCGGGAGCTTGCCAAGCTTCGGGACCTGCCCAAACTTCGGGCCTTGGTGCTGCTGGACAACCCATGTACAGATGAGAATGACTACCGCCAGGAAGCCCTGGTGCAGATGCCACAACTGGAACGTCTGGACAAGGAGTTCTTCGAGGAAGAGGATCGGGCTGAGGCCAATGAGATGCGCCAGAGGATGAAGGAGGAGCAGGAGGCTGAGCCTGAGCACTATGAGGAACTGGAGCAGCCACAGATGTAGAAGCAGTCCTTCTAGCCTTCAAGGATAGTAAGGAAGCTGGCAGGGAGGCAGGGAGGCAGGAAGAGGAGGTCAAGGGCCTGGTATATAGGCGGAGAGAGGAGTTGCTATAGGAGGAGATGGGTGAGGAAGGGAAAAGGCAAGGAGAAGGGAAAAGGGTGTCTCGCAGCGAGGAGGAAGAACCAGCAGGACCTAAGAGAAGCTGAGAAAAGGCTTAGGAGATACATCAGAGAATAAGGGAAAATAATTGGGGTGGCAGACAGAGATGCTGGTGTGGGGCGGGCAGCCAAACCTGACCTAGAGTGAAGATCAGCTGGAAAAGGCCAGGTCTAGGGCAAGATAGTGGTGGTGGGAGAGAGGTGGTCGGTGGCATATGAGGGATGCAGCTGAGCCTAGCAGAGAAGGCAGAAGAGAAAGATCCTGCACTAAAAATATGAAGCTGAAAATAACAGGACAGGGACTGGGGGAAGACAGGAGGGCAGGGTGAGGCAGAAAGAGACTGCGGAGATGAGCCCAGGAAAGTATAGCAGCTGGACACTTGAGATGGGGGCAGAGGCAGCAGTGAGAACGCAGTAGGGTCCAGAGAGTTTACTTCCGTCCTCTTCTTCCAGGGGATCAAAGATACTGGCCCCAAGACCTGCGAGAGCTGCGTTAGCAGTGGTCATCCCCGCGCACATCCTAATCCAAGACAGAGCACACCTTCTCTCGCCCTCGACCTGGGGATTTGTCACCGCCTGCGGCCCAGGCCCGGCGGGCACCTAGGCAGCAGGGGTGGGAGGGCCTGAGCTCTGCCCGAGCCTAGTAGCCGGCATCCTTCAGGCCGGTCTGGTGGGAGCCAAGCCTGGACGGGCCCAAGGGATGCGGGGAGAGTTGGCTGCAGAGGGGCTGCGGAGGCGGGCTAGGGTGTCAAGAACAGCTCTGTTTTCGAATAAAGAGACATTTTGATACTCTTGGGCCAGACCGGGTTTATGAGATACGGAGTCTGTCTCGGGCTTTCCTGGCCGTGGAGGCCTCGGGACGCAGATTCCTCGGTAAGGCTGTGCCAATTATCTCCCAAGGGGGTCGAGGCGTGGGCAGGAGCTCGCGAGGGCGCCGGGAGAGGCAGGCTCTGGTTCGCCCCCAGCCCTCCCCCAACACCTCCGCCGGCCCTCCACCCGCGCTCCGACGTGCGCCTCCACCCGCGGCTCCTGACTCATCGGGGGCTCCGGGTCACATGCGCCCGCCCGGCCCTATCCGCGCCTCCCCCGCCCGCCGCCCGCCGCCCGCCCGGGAGCCGCAGTCGCCGCCGCCACTCCCGCTCTCTCTGCGCCGCCGCCACTGCCGCCGCCGCCGCCGCTAGAGTCTGCAGCCCCGAGGTGAAGCCCCGGTCGGGCCCCTTCACCCCTCCGGCCCAGCCCCTGGCCGCCACGCCCCCGCCCCGCGCCCTGGGCCCGCGTGCAGCTCTCCCCCGGGCGCTGCGCACCAGCTGTCAGCGCGTCTCCCCCGCGCCCGCCTTCCCCGCCTTCCCAGACCGCTCCTCTCGGGTTCTGGCTGCCGCCCCCTCCCCATTTGGGCGCCAGCCCTGCACCCGGGCCTTCCCTTCTCCCCGCGCCCCGCTTCGCCTCGGGTTCCATCGACATGAAGTTCGGGGTCGCTCCCGGCTGTGCGTTTTGATCCTGGCACGTCCTCCTTGATTTGCATCTGGGGAGATGGCTTCCCCCACCCCTCCGCAGCGTCCCCGGACTCCTCCGGAGCGCCCCTCTCCCACTCCCCGCAACGTCGCCCCTCCCGGGGCGGCTGGAGGACGGGCCCAGCCCTGCCGCCCCCTCCTCCCTTTCCGCGGCAGCCCCCAGGGACGGCGCGCCTTTCCCAGGATCCTCTCCCCAGACTTCTTTACTGTGCATCTGTGGGGAGAGGGGCTGGGACCTTGGCGTGGGGGCTGGGTGTTGAGTTGGGTGGAATGGGGGCCCTGCAGGAAAGGCGTCGGTGTTTAGACTACTCATCCTCTTCTTGGCTCCGAGGAGAAAGGCAAACCTGGCAGCCATTCTGCTCAGAGGAGATCTGGGGGAACCCCACCAGCTGGCTGCCGAAGCTGCTGAGGGGATGAGGGAACCCCTTCCCGGCCCCTCTACTTCTCACTGCGGTGTCCCCCCGACCTCAGTGTTGGCTCTAACCCCGCCTCCCACTGCAGTGGCCTCCCCCTCCTCACTGCATTAGCCTTCTCTCCCCATGGGAGGGGTTGGGGGAACCCCTTCTACAGCCTCTACAGCCTTTACGGCCGGCGGCGGCAACCTGCTCCTCCCCACCCCCTACCCACTGCAGTAACCTCTTTCCCATCCTTCCTAGCCTCTGGCCCCTCCCATTGATCTCAGGCTCCACCCCTCTAAGCCTCTTACCTTTCTCCTCACTTCCTTCCACCCAAGGAGATCCCAGCCATCATGTCGATAGAGAAGATCTGGGCACGGGAGATCTTGGACTCCCGTGGAAACCCCACGGTGGAGGTGGATCTCTACACTGCCAGAGGTACTGAGAGGGCCTGGACCAAAACACAGTCCCTCAACGCCCACCGCAACCCCACACCCCAGTGCTGGGTTTGCCCTGGCCAGGGATGGGGAGTTTCCTTGATTTCCAGCAGGGATGGGGTGCTGCGCCAGGCTCATAGCCTGGATTGCGGGGGTTGGATCCCGTTGTCCAGGAGAGCTAGGATACGCAGGCCTCCGTGCTCTAGTTTAGCGCATGATGCATGCTCTGCCTTTGCATGTTTGTCGATGCACCTGTGTGTGCGTGCGCATGAATAGGTAACTTCAGTTGACCTCAGTGGGGTGAATAAGGAGGCCTTTGCTTGTGAATCTGCCTTTGTGTGTGTGTGTGTGTGTGTGTGTGTGTGTGTGTGTCAGGGAGCATTGTGTGTGTCTTAGGGAGAAGTATGTGTCTTTGTGTGTATGAGGGAGTAGTTGTGTATTAGGGAACTATGTGCATGTGTGTGTTAGGGAGCAGTGCAGTATTAGGGAGCAACGTGTGTAGTGTGTATTAGAGAATAGTTGTGTATTGGAAGCTGCATGTGTGTGCATGCGTGTGTTAGGAAGCAGTATATGTGTGTGTGTTGGGGAGCAGTGTGTGTCTGTATGTGTGTGTATTAGGGAGTAGTGTATGTGTGTGTATTAGGGAGTAGTTGTGTATTAGGGAGCTGTGGGTGTGTTAGGAAGCAGTATGTCTGTATGTGTGTGTATTAGGGAGCAGTTTGTGTCTATGAGGGAGTAGTTGTGTATTAGGGAGCTGCGTATGTTTATTGGGGAGCAGCGTGTGTTTGTTAGTGAGCAGTTTGTGTCTGTGAGGGAGTAGTTGTGTATTTGGGAGCTGTGTGTGTCTGTATGTGTGTGTATTAGGGAGCAGTGTGGGGAGAAGGCTGGATGTGGCATGCCGGAGTTTAGACCTGGAGTGCTAAAGGGACCCCTGGTCCCCGTAGTGTCTTTCGCTCTTCTTCCTTACTCCATGTTCCCCTCCCAGGTCTTTTCAGGGCTGCGGTACCCAGTGGAGCCTCCACTGGGATCTATGAGGCCTTGGAGCTAAGGGATGGGGACAAACAGCGTTACTTAGGCAAAGGTGAGGCCCTCTCTCTTTTCCAAGCTCTCTCACCCCTCAGCTTCACACTCCTACCTCACACCAGTCCCCAAGCCTCTGCTTGCACCCCTTCTACCCCTTTTCCCTCCTCGCCCTTCTGACCTGCCCCAGCCTGGCCTCTTTGCCTCTTCCTAGGTGTCCTGAAGGCAGTGGACCACATCAACACCACCATCGCGCCAGCCCTCATCAGCTCAGTGAGGCTCACTCTTTGCTCGGGGTGGCAGAACCAGGGTCCTGGAAGGAATCCTGGGTCAGGGGAGGAGGAAGAGGAGGGAGGAAGGCCCACCCCTTGGGAATCATGGTTACCAAGGGAAGGGCGGGAAGATGACCCCTTACTGCCCTCTGCTCCCATGGGGGCTTAGGTCCCCTGATCCAGATGGGCCACTGTCACAGGAACTTGGCTGGACCCTGGCGGATGTGAGCCTGTGTGAAGGGGGCCCTGTGTCTTAGCGCCCAGCTCCATTCTGGCCCCGGGTGATTGATGGTGGCTCTGCCCACAGGGTCTCTCCGTAGTGGAGCAGGAGAAGCTGGACAACCTGATGTTGGAGTTGGATGGGACTGAGAACAAGTGTAAGCGGGGGCTGGGGAAAAAGTGGGGAGGCTGAGGGCGGGCATGTGTGGAGCAGACAGAGAGCTGAAGGGGCAAGTGCAGTGGGGGCTTCTTGAGGAAGGACTTCTTCCATCCTCCCCCCAAAATCAGAAGAAGATGAGTTTAACTGCAGTGGCGGGGAGAGTAACATTAGGCAGAGGAAACACTCTGCAGCATAAAGAGAAGGGAGTTGCCAGGAGACAGCCTGGTCTTGGGGTGTTTAGAAATATGTGCAGTTCTCTGCCCTTTCCTGTCACCTTCTCCCCACCTGCCCTATTTCAGGAGAGCATGGATGAGATATTGCAGGAGAGGAGGGAGGAAGGGGTCTCCTTCACTGGCTCCTTTGCGGAGTATAGGTGGAGGCAAGAGCTAGAGGGGGAAGGGGACATTTTTGCTCAGTGCCTTTCTCTGTAATCTCCCAGCCAAGTTTGGGGCCAATGCCATCCTGGGTGTGTCCCTGGCCGTGTGTAAGGCAGGGGCAGCTGAGCGGGAATTGCCCCTATATCGCCACATTGCTCAGCTGGCTGGGAACTCAGACCTCATCCTGCCTGTGCCGGTGAGCACCGTGCCATGTCTGTGCCTCTCCCAGGGGTGGGGGCTGGGGGAGCATGAAACCTTGTGAAGGCTAATGGAATGCAAGGGAATTGGAGCAACTAAAGAGAAAGGATGGGGACATGAGGCTGAGAGTCTGGGAAGCTGGGGGAAGTTTGGGGTCTTGGGCGAATATTCCTGGGGTGGAAAGGAAAATGCTCAGTGACTTTTCTGTCCTGTGGCTCCCAGGCCTTCAATGTGATCAATGGTGGCTCTCATGCTGGCAACAAGCTGGCCATGCAGGAGTTTATGATCCTTCCAGTGGGTGCCGAGAGCTTTCGTGATGCCATGCGACTTGGCGCGGAGGTCTACCACACCCTAAAAGGGGTCATCAAGGACAAGTACGGCAAGGATGCCACCAATGTGGGAGATGAGGGTGGCTTTGCCCCCAATATCCTGGAGAACAGTGAAGGTGAGACCAGGAGCCCCGCTCCCAGCTCCAGACCATTGGGAGGGGCCACACACTTCGCCAAGCCCTGAGGAGTGAGGGTGGATGGTCTTTGACTCCTGCTAGAGTTCAGAGGTGCCACTTCTTGGAGTGGCTTCCAGAGAGTCTGCCAAATTCACGTGCAGGCCTAGGAGAACAGTCCTCACCTGCCCAGCCAGGTTCGTTGGCAAGTGTAAGTTCTCACTGGAGCTTCTGGGAGAGCAGGAAGGTGATCTAGGTCCCCTGTGGGATCCACCGGAACCTTTAACTCCATAGGGTTCTCCGTTTGATGAGACCCACCAAACCGCAGGTAATCTATTTCAAATCTATCCCATTCTTATCTTGACTTCTTAGGCCTTGATGATCCCTAACTTTTCTCTGCTCTGGGAGAAACTGCTTAGTGAATAGGAACAATGACCTGTAGTGGCTAACTGCCTGCATTTGAATCTTGACTTGAAAACGTACTGGCTGGTGATCTTCCTTATTTTCTCCATGCTTTGTCTTTCCTATCTGTAACATGGGAATACTCGTAACAGTATCTACTTCATAGCACTATTGTGGAGATTAAATGAGATCATACATGTGAAGTACTTAGGTGACATACTTAGACCTCAACAAATGACAGCTATTAAAGAAACATTGTCATTAACAAGTCCATCCTCTGCCTCCCTGGAAGGTGGCCTGCTGTTTCCAGAGCCGGAATAACCCAACGAGAACCTTAGCCAGACTTCTCCACAGCGAGTCCTCTGCCACTGCCCTTCATTTCTTCCTTTCCCTCATTCCTCTCTGTGTGCCCTTCCTGCTCATAACCTCACTGGGTTTCGTCTCCAGCCTTGGAACTGGTGAAGGAAGCCATTGACAAGGCTGGCTACACGGAAAAGATCGTCATCGGCATGGATGTCGCCGCCTCAGAGTTCTATCGCGACGGCAAATATGACTTGGATTTCAAGTCTCCTGCTGACCCTTCCCGCTACATCACTGGGGACCAGCTGGGGTCCCTCTACCAGGACTTTGTCAGGGACTATCCTGGTGAGAGCAAGGCGGGGTGTGGGAGAGAGGGCGGGGGAGGGCAGGCGGCCAGCAGGGATGTGCTGGGCCAACTCTGGACCCTATGGGGTGCTGATTCAGGTGCCAGGCGGAGGGGTCCTAAGAACCAGGGATGGGATGAAGAAGCCTCCTGCAGAGCCTACGCTTTGTATGTAGTGTAAGCGTGCAGGTGCCGGTGGTGAATCTGTTCCATCTGCTTTGGGCCCTGACTAAAGTCATGGGCTCTGAAGCTCCTGGGGTCATGCGGAAGGCTTTGGAAGAGACTAGGAATGCTGAGAGGGTGACTGGACCTGACAGGGAACAAGCACATTTCAGTATTTTTGATGGATAAAATTGTGGATGCTAGATGGAGCTGGCAGTGATATGTGAACAGAAGGCTGATGAGGAAGTGAATTATCCTTCAGGTCTACTAAAGGCTCTAGATATAAGTTGCTGACTGAAGGATTTTGGTTAGTAATGAGGAAGGGCTACCTAGTTGTAAAAATAGGAAAATGCAGATAGGTTGTGAGGAAGATTCTGAACCTTTGTTTTTTGAAAGGTTTATAAGTGAATCAAGGTAAGAATCAGGGCAGGCTTATTTAGGGACAGGGGAAGCAAGATGGGCAGGCTCAGTTAGCCGGGGGATCTGGCCATTTCAGGGCGTCATGCCTGCCTGGTGCAGAGCCGCTCCCCCTCTCCCTGCAGTGGTCTCCATTGAGGACCCCTTCGACCAGGATGATTGGGCCGCCTGGTCAAAGTTCACAGCCAATGTAGGCATACAGATTGTGGGCGATGACCTGACAGTGACCAATCCGAAGCGGATCGAGCGGGCAGTGGAAGAAAAGGCCTGCAACTGCCTGCTGCTCAAGGTCAACCAGATCGGTTCGGTCACTGAAGCCATCCAAGCGTGAGTGCCTCCTGGTTCTCTCCTGCTCAGCCCCTGTTTCTCAGGGCCCCTCTTGCAAGGGATCTAAGCCTAATCCTGTCCATAGAGGCTGAAGAGAACAGGGAACCTGGAGTCACGTTCATAGCCCTCAGCTCTGCTCTTTCCGCCACTGCTTCTCTGCTCCCTGCCCAGACAGCTTCCCTCCAGAGATTTCTTTTTTTTCAAGAGAGGGGCTGGGCCCAAGCCTCTTCATTTCATTTATTTATTTATTTGTTTATTTTTAGAGAGCAGGGAAGGGAGGGAGAAAGAGAGGGAAAGAAACTTCAGTGTGTGAGAGGTGCATCGATTGGTTATCTCTTGTCCCCCAACCGGGGACCTGGCCACAACCCAGGCGTGTGCCCTGACTGAGACTCGAACAGATGACCTTTCAGTTCTCAGGCCAGCGCTCAGTCCGCTGAGCCACACTCGCCAGGGCCAGATATTTCTTCACACAGATCGATGTTGGGGCTGGGAGGAGAGTGCCCAGTGTGAGGGGCTGGAGGTCAGTGCTGACCTATGGATGCAGGTGCAAGCTGGCCCAGGAGAATGGCTGGGGGGTCATGGTGAGCCATCGCTCAGGAGAGACTGAGGACACGTTCATCGCGGACCTGGTGGTGGGGCTGTGCACAGGTCAGGTGAGTGCAAAGGAGAGCTTTGTGCAGTTGGTGCGTTCTAGGCTCAGGTGGGCCTCTCTTTCCAGGTGTTTGAGGGTGTCAGGGGAACTTCAAGGGAGTATAAGTTTCCTTTCAAGCAACGAAGGGGCAGCCACTGAGCTCCTTATCTTTCTGGATGTTTCAGATCAAGACTGGTGCCCCGTGCCGTTCTGAGCGTCTGGCTAAGTACAACCAGCTCATGAGGTGAGGGAACCTGGGGAACGGAAACCCAGGGCTCGGGGGTAAAAGCTGTTTGCTCACCTTTCCATCTCCAGTTCCCTGGCCAGCAGACATCCAGAAAAGACTGAAGGGTGGGTTGACCGATGGCCTGATGGTGACTCCTATAGGTCACATGGGAAAACCAGGGATGCCCACACTTGGGCCAGGACATGGGAGCAGGTGGTCTGAGGTGCCTAGAGACTGAGGGCCTCCTGGAAATGCTTACTTGACATGTCCTTTCTGGCTCATCTCTCTCAGAATTGAGGAAGAGCTGGGAGATGAAGCTCGCTTCGCAGGACACAATTTCCGCAATCCCAGTGTGCTGTGAGCCCTCTACTTGCCTGGAGACTTGGACCGCCCCCCCCCCCCCCCCCACCGTCCTGGAACCCCTTCCTGTCCTGCTCTGTGATATTTCACCTCAGACACCCCGGCTGACCTGCTGCACTGCTCCTGGGCTTGACCCGCTTTCCCGCTCTGGGTTCCACGCTCTTCACTTCTTCCTTCCCGCTCTCTCTCCTCAAAGACTGGCCACAGGACTGAGGATCAAAAGGGGGTCCATGGAAGGATGACCAGGGTCTGTGATGGGAGCATCAGGGTTGGTCGCTGAGATGTTTAGAGAGGGGCCATGTGTCACTTGTGCTTTGTGTTGGTTCCATGTGTTTTCCATGTTGCATATGAGCCAGGCACTGCATGGTGCTGAGGTGGAGGGAGGTGCTGGCTGCTGGTCATGCCTGGCCTAAGGTTTTACTATGTTATTTATTTATTTATTTATTTATTTATTCATTTATTCATTCATTCATCCTATTAATTAATTAATCATTCCCTCATAACTCCAGGGCTAAAAACTGGCCTGACTGGAGGTGGGAGCACTAGTGTCTGTATTTCATGTGGCTGTAGATCCCGAGATGGCCTGGGATGGGAAGTCTTGCTGGAATGCTAAGGGTAACGGACAAGGGCCCTGCTGCGCTCCTTTGTGTGCGCCAACCCTTCGCTGACACCTGGTGGGGCCAGAGGTGGGGCTGTGCACCTGGGGGCTCTTCCCCAGAGCTCTTCCCAGCTCTTCCTTCCCTGTTCTTCCTCCAGCTGCACCAGAGCAATGTCTCACTCCCTGTGCCATGTTCCACAATTGCCACCGCCTCTGTGGCACTGAAACAAGCACCGCCATTAAAAAGTCTGAATCACAGTGCATTATTGTGTCGGAGGAGTCTTACTATAGTCCACATGAGGGGGGAGAGGATGGAGCACCAGGAAGGCAGTTGGAGAAACTGGAGAGCAGAGCTGGGGAGGGCACACGCACAGGTGGAGGACAACAATGAGAACACAGATGGCAAGATGATGACATTGCCTGCCCCGCCGCGGCCAGGTGAGGTTCAGCTTGCCTCTGCCTTCTCAGCGGCATGCTTGGCCCCAGGACCCAGGTGAATTAGGAGTTCTTACCTTGGTGCAAGAACTCCTAAAATTATAAACCGTGTTGTGTTTATGTGTGCTTTGAGGGAAAGGTGTCCAAAGTGTTTTCAGATTCCCAAAGGGCCTTGACCAAAGAAGGGATGGCGCTGTGAACTAGAGCAGCTCCCATACCAGGCTTCTCCCAAACCAACTCCTGTCTCTTCTGAGATGGAACAGCATTGCGTGGCTGTCACTCCCTGCAAGGTGGGAAACCAGGGACAGAGAATGGTACTAGGGGTTGTAGAGGAGGGCCTGAGGAAGTAGCCCTCCAGTAAACTGAAGATTCAGGACCTGAACTACTCAACAGGCTCCCCTCCCCACAGTTGGCTCAGCCTTCGAGGAGGGTGCCAGTGTGCGGCTGGAGACACACTACAGCTCTTCAGCTCCAGTGGAGCCCCAGAATTGAGATGGGAACCCAGAAACCCACGAGGGGGGTCTACCCGCTTCGGTGCTTTGCATTCTAGGGGCTGTGGGAAGCTGTGGCCACTAGAGGGAGTCAAGGTCTGCAGGACACCATACTGGAGCCCGGCTAAAGGCGGTGGGAGGGATTTCAAGGTTGTTCCCTTTGTGGGCCTCCCACTCTGTTTCTGCTTGGAGTTCTGGTCCTGGGCTCCCTCTGCCATCCTACCCAGCTCCAGGACTAGAAGAAGATTCCAGGTCTGCTTGGGAAGGACCTATTTCTCTGTCCTGTCCTTCCTGTATTGATGACACCTCCTCCATTTTCAGTTCAAAGAACTTCTTGCCCTGCCCTCAGTGCCTCTTCATTTCGGTGCTTCAGTACAGGCATCTCATCTTTCCCTTCTCTCCTGGCACCTTTTCTGCTTCCTTTGGGGCGCACTGTATTTTTCTCCATACCTCTTGGTTTTCTCTAGGGTACCTTATATTCATCTTTTTTAGGAACTCCTGGACTGACCAGGCCTATTCTGGTTGGAGGCACATTTCCTAACCTCTGCCCTTTTCTCCCTCCTTACGAAGTCACCTTCTCTGGCAGCCATGCTCCTCCCTCCACCACCACCACCCAGGTACTGGGTGGATTGGGTTACAGCTAGTTCTGCCAGGGCTTCCTAGGCCCTTCTCTCCACTTTCCCTTTGTGCCGTTGCCTGGAGACCAGTGGGTGGTGGGGGGCTGGGGCCAGAGGTGGTGGTGGTGGTGGTGGTGGGGTGTGTGTGATGCTTCCTGAAGCTGAACTGTCAGCCTGGCCCTCAGGTAGGAGAGGAATTGGAAAGGGTAGGCCCTGGCTTTTCTTCTGACTCTCCCATCTTCTGTTCTTACCTATGCCTACATTTTTCTTTTGGGCTCAGATATGTCATCATCCTAATCCATCTCTTAGTAGTGAAAAACAAAAAACCAAAACCCAAAAACCAGTGACAGTAAAAAAAAAACCAACCCCAAACCTGGAAGGGAGTTGGAAAGGGGCTGGGCCAGGGCCCAGCAGGAGACTGAAATGAGAAGGGGGGAGAGGAGGAGGGGGGGGAGAGAGAGAGAGAGAGAGAGAGAGAGAGAGAAATGTAATAGGGAGGGGAATGAGGGGGTAGGAGGAGTCTCGGGGCAGAGTTGGGAGGTGGGGACTAGGAGCAGGAGCTATCCTAGGACACTGGGATGGGGGAGGGCTTTGTGGGGTGGGGGGAGATAGGGGGCTGGCCTGGTCTCTTGAAGGCCCTAAAGAATAAGGAATGTGGGCAAGGGGTGGTAAAGTGCCAACCAACTCAAGAGATTAGAGAGTGGTGACTCCTTCCTAGGCCAAGGAAGCCTTCTTGTTCAGGGTCCCCAGAGCTTTAGAATCTTTTTAGAGCTTTTGGGTATTTCTAGAACTTGGCTGAGCCAGGCCCAAGGAAATCTGAGGCAAAATCTTCCGAGCTGCTACAGACCCAACCTCCTTCCTTTCCAGAAGGTTGGGGGGATACTGCCATTCAGGGTCCACCCTTGGCCTCTGGCTGTCCTGGCCTCACACATACCCTACCCCACCCCCACCCCAAATCTGGAGAGCTATTAGGGCTCCCAATCCAGACTCCAGCTCCAGCTCTTCCTATTTCCCAGCCTGCCTCCCTCCCATTCTCTGGCCTTCCCACTCTCCGCTGCCAAAAACCAACCAGTGTCTTGGCGTCCTTTGTCCTGGGAGATGCTGCTGTTTAGTGTGGGGCCAGGGAGCCAGCCCAGAAGACCCTGGTGGTGGGCTGCTGGGGTGCTGGCTTCAGGGCTGAGGACTGGGGGCGGCTGGCCGACTGAGCGTCAGAGGCTGCCGGGGGGAGCAGTGGGAGAAGGAGGAGCCTTAGGCCTGTGGCGGGACTCCTCTGTCTTGGAATGATTGGGGTTGGGGAACCAGGGCACCTAGGGATTTGGTTATGTTTTGAGCCTAATCCCCACCTCACCACTTCCCTGAGGCCCAAATCCCCATCAGTGACGACTTCAGAGGAGACCACCAGACAGAGGGCCTGAGAATGGTGCCCCACTCCTATAAGTTAATCTTCCCCTACACTGGAGCTTGCCCTCCCCCATTTCTATCATTTCCTTCTCCTGCTTTCCCTTCCCCTCTTGTCTTCTGCATCACGGACCTTCCCCCTTCCATATTGCCACCAAAGACCGTGATTATCTTACGTTTCCTGCCAATCTTCCTTACCCATCCCCAACCCCTCCACACCCACTCCATTCTGACTAGCTTGTCTTACCTATCAAAATCCTCCTCAGCTTTCTTGAAAACCCCCCACCTCCAGAGCCCTGCTATCCCTGTGTCTTCCACCCCAGTCCTACCCAGAACCCCAGGACCCCTAGAAAATGCACCTGGCCCCACCCCTGTCATTCCTTCTAAAGATTCCTCACGCTTTCCTTTCTCCCAGCTGACATCTCTGAACTGGTCTCTCTCCAGCTTACCTTCATCATCCCCAAATTCTTATATTTCCTATTCTTTTCCCAGCACGAGGCACCCTCAAATTCTACTGTCTTCCAGAAACCTCAGCCTCCTAAATATGTCTCCATTTTTTTTCAGTTTCTTCCCTTTCTTACGACCCCAAACTTCCATCCCATTCTGTCATAACTGCCTCCCAACCTTCTCCCCCCACATGCCTGCCACAGACGCTGTCACCCAAGCTTCCTTCATCTCCTATCACACACCTCATTGCCCCGAAAGCCCCCATGCAGCTCCGTCCTCCCAATCTCACCCCATTGCCCCCATCTCTGCCCCATACCCACAACCTCCCACCCCACCTCTGCCATAGACCCCTTTGCCCTCAAACTTCTGCCTCCTCCACACCTACCCTTATAGCCCACAGCCCCTCCCGTCGTAGCCCTCTCCCGTGCCAGGCCCGCGGGCTCCCCGCGTTCCGCCGCGGCGAACCCCTCCCCGCGCCCCGGGCCCCTCGGCCTCGGCCTCGGCCAACTCGCACAGCGCCTCCCCCTCCAATCCCCCTCCCCCTCGCGGCTCGCCTGGCGCTCCCTCCCTCGCGTCTCCCTCCTGGCCCCTCGCTCCCCGTTCCTCAGCGCTCCCTCCTTCTCCCTCTTCCTCCCTTCTCCCATCCCCCTCTCCTAAGCTCCCTCCCTTCGCCGGCCGCTTTCCTGTGCGAGTCGCCGGACGCGCAGCCCAGCCCGCCCGCAGCCCCGCGCCGGGCCGGGACCGGGGGCCAGGGGCCAGGACCGGGGACCAAAAGGGGGGGGGGGGCGCCGCTGCCGCCGGGAGGGACTAGGAGTGGGCGAGGGAGACGGCCGCCCGGGAAGGGGCGGGGGCCGCGGGCGGAGGCCGCCCAGGGGGCCGAGGGTAGCGGAGTGCGGGCCGCGCAAGGCAGGCGCGGGCGGCGGGCGGGAGGCAGCGGGGCAGAGTGGCGCGGAGGGCCGCGGGGGCGAGCGGAGCGGAGCGGCGCGGTCGGGCGGGCGGCGCGGCCCGGGCGTTCCGGGGGCCGCGGGGGGCGCGGCGGGCCTGGGGAGGGGCTGAGCGGGAAC